TATTACTCAATTATTATATTCTCATGATCGTTTCACCCCTTCAGAAAAAATCGAGTTCGATCTTTATAGGAGGCTATACCCACACACTGTATACAAAACCAAATAAAACTATAGAGAAAGCCCTGCTGAGCGCGAATTTATGAGCAAATCTGACATCGTATACTGATGGATGTCCTCGTTTCTGTAATTTTCATTAATTTGTCAGTCTGAACTAGCTGAAGGTTTTAATTTCCAGACATTTTTGAAATTTATGAACAAAATCAAGCGCTCAGACAACATTCATCAAACGAAATGCGTGATTTCGCTTCTATTCAAATCGCTGCTATACAGAGTGATAAACCCCCACCTGACATGGATTAACAATTGAGTGATGTTATGTTTCAATTTCTCGTGTATCTAGTCATAAATAGGTATGCACTACCAATATCTGCCAGATGTTCCTTAAACCAAGTTTGCATAGGTCTCCTAGTTTGCCCAACATATCATGTTCTGCAACGATCACAGCCATTTCAACTAACTAGTAAAACATCAACAAGAACATTTTATTCAATCGTTATTAGTTCAAAATCAGAAAGTGAATCATAATTAGCGAAAACAAACAGTGATGTGGATTTAAAATGACCACGACTTTTATGGAGTTTTTTTCAGTATTTATAAACATTTCATTTGCCGTGAATACAGGTAATCAACCAAACCAAAAGGACATCACATATCTGAATTATATTGACTTAGGATTGATTACACTTTTTCAGTGAGAGTATATGTGAATCGGTTGGAGATAAATACTATTTGAATTATAAATTGAAGCTGACAGAGAGTGGTCAGAATCGAAGTCCTTTCACCATACTCACCCCCAACATCAGTGGCGTACCTCAAAAAACTAGATCAGTATCTAAAATAAAACTTGAAAACAGAGAAGACGGCTATAGATACAGTTGTTTAGTGAAGTGCAGAATATATTCATTTTTTAAATAAATATGTTAAGCCAAAGTCATTTCCACAAAAACTCATGTTTGAACGAGACTGGTTAGTAACGAAAGAGAAATAACTTCTTTGCTGGCTATATGCCACGCAGAATATTGGTTTCATCCTCCAGAAATTTATGCAACAATTCGGATCTAGACGAATGAGATCGCAAGTGTTTCTTTCCTAAATGCTGGATTGTGCTTGAATTGTTCACAATCGCTTGAATACATATACAGACCGGTTTCGAGCTCTTGGTTCTCATCAGTGCAGGGGTGTCCCCAGATGGCTTTATGACTGTCATCTGGTGCGAACCTGACTCCTGCACTGATGAGAGGCGAAAGCTCGAAACCGGTCTGTAGGTAGTCAAGCGTTTGTGAACAATTTAAGCACAATCCAGCATTTAGGAAAGAAACACTTGCGATCTCATTCGTCTATCCGAATTGTTGCATAGATTTCGGGAGGATGTAATTCAACATCCTGATGCATGGCACATAGCCAGAAAAGTAGTTGTTTCTCTCTTGTTATCTACTAGTCTCCTTCATTAGGAACTTTTGTGAAGATGATTTTGAGCTTCATATATTTATTTAACATTCTGGCATTTTCATAGTTGATATTCATTTTCCACCAAACCATCTATTTCTGAGAAATTCCCTGGAATAGGTAAATTTTTTAATTACAAATTGACACATTCATGAGGGAAAATTATATATACAGGGTGATACACGTTCAAGTAATAACGTCGGAGCCAATTTTTTCTAATGAAACATCCTATATATCATTCAATTTTTCGAATCCCCATGGAAATCTGAATTCAACAATGAATCACACATGGGGTTTGTATACAGTGCGTCCGTTAAAATGAGTGCTTTCGTAAAATAGTTTTCCAAATTGAATTGATACATACAGAATGATTTGTGTAGGAGAAATGACGCCGTCGTAATTTTTTTAATGGCAACCACATTTTAAGAGAGCAGTGTACTCAACGGACGTACTGTAAACAAACCCTTCGTGTGATATATTTTTGAAATCAAATTTCCAAGAAATTTCTGAAAATTGAATAATAGAGGGTACAGCATTTGAAAAAAAAATGGCGCGAACATCAATACCTACTCAAACATGGATCACCCTGTATATTTGATTTTCCCTCATAAAAATGGCAAATTGAAATGAAAAATGAACCTGTTTCAGGAGATTCCTCAGAAATGAATAGTTCAGCAAAAAAATCATTGATTTAGTACTCACGAGAGTAATTATGCGTAAACGTAAATATCGAAAAATTAATATCAACTTCACACTTAGCTTTGGTAGTTTCAGGAACGATCTACTTATATTTTCAACATAAAATTGGAGAATTATTCTTACGAATGATTCATAATTGGCCGTGTGATAGTTTAATGAGAGTATTGGGAACTTAGAAATGTAGAACTTATTGACTAATACATGTAGTGATAAAAAAATTTCGAAATCGGCCAACAGATAGAAAAATACAAGGGTTTTGCTGCTCAAAGTGAGACGCACTGTATAGAAACTCTCGCTGAATTGAAACACGTATCGTTACCTATAGGTAACTCTGTTGAATTGGTAATTGCTTTTTTGTCACCAAATGATTTAGCCTTTGAAAGGTTTCAGGTCTATTTGTTGGTTACATTCGTAGCCGGCATTCACCAACGAATGACAATTCATATTTTTTGCATGGCTTTGTTAAAATTTCTAAAGGAAGTCTGACGAAAAATGTTGAATATCGAACTTGTTATTTCCATTTAAATATCTACAATCGAATGCATTATAAGGAAATATAAGTAGGAAGTTGTATGGCATTGATGGAAAATTTACACTAATTAATTCTAATTCTAACCGCATTCAACCATGCTTTTGAGACTAATTTTGAATGTTGTTGAAATTCAAGATAATATATTAAGTAAGGTTAGGTCCTGAGATATAGATGGCTACTCTATCATTTATAAAGCGCATCTGAATAATGATTATTGAGAGATCTTTCTATATTACCTTCAAAAACTCAATTCCATTAAAAACACACCTTCTTGCAAATATAAATGTGCTCACAATTTTCCACTGAAACTCGAGAAGTAAACAAAAGAATGAACACTGATGTTTAATTATAACTGATCAAAAGACTTATAGGGTTATATGGATCAAGTCATGGATCCCTCAGGATTTGTTTTCATGTATTTGGATCTGTCTATGCCTGATTTAGTGTTCTAATGTTGGGTGATTGTTAATTTACGATCAGTTGAGTTGAGAGACCAATGAGGAAACAATTCCTTCAAAGTAAGGCGACTTTACAAAAACTTTTAGCATCTAAGATTCAACATGAACGACTTAGGAGTCTTAAGTGGATTCAGTTATAGAAAAAGTGACATTCTAATAAAGCAATACATGACTTCTGTCATTATTGACATCTAGTTTCTGATACAGAGCCAGATTTTCAAAGTTTAGTAAGTTAGAAACTGGTTGGAAATCAAAATTTCATGTTCTATATCATTCTCTCACATTCTTCTCACATATATGGCAGCAATCTATTGAAAAATATGGTGAAACCTTAGCCGTGGCACTTGATATCTCCAAGGCATTCGATCGAGTCTGGCACCTAGGACTCCTCGCCAAGCTTCCATCTCATAGCTTGCCTCCCCAGCTATGTTCTCTGCTAGCTAGTTTTCTCTCAAACAGGTCTCTCCATGTAGTGGTCGACGGAGTTTCATCTGACTCTCTTATCATTAATGCTGGTGTTCCGCAAGGATCAATTCTAGCACCAACACTATTTCTCCTCCATATCAACGATTTGTTGGAAGCAACTTTATGTCCAGTACACAGCTTCGTGAATGATAGTACCCTCCATACCGCCTTCTCTTCCAGAGCTCCAATTCCAGCTAGGCAAATCAGAAACGAACGAGGGAGAAATGTTGAAAACATGAATATGGACTTGGCAACAATTCTCGCATGGGGATCCAATAGATTTCAATGCAAACAAAAAACAAGCATGCCTTTTTTCTAGAACAGCCGATCTCACTGTGCCCAACATAAGCTTGTCAGGAGTAACCATACCTTTGAAGACATCCATTTCGATGCTTGGGATTACTATCAGCAATAACCTTTCTTGGGAAAATCACGTGAGATCAATTGCTAAAAGTGCACCCCAAAAAGTCGGTTTTCTGTTTCGGGCCAGGAGCTATTTCACTTCCAGTCAGCTGCTTATGATCTATAAGGCACAGATCTGACCTGTCTTGGAATACTGTTTACATATTTGGAGTGCAGCACCCAAACATACCCTGAAACTGTTGGATTCTGTTGAGGCTTCGCACCCCTTCGTGGTCACTTTGGAGACCTGCAGAACATGTCTTTCCAAAGACTCGTTCATCCAACGAACAGCGAGGCTCTGGAACACATTGCCAAGGGAGGTGTTCCCCGAGGCATATAACCTCGAGAGATTTAAGAAGAACACCAATTCCTTCCTTATTTCCCTTGGTTCTCACGATGTTCCCCGAACATTACAGGATATTCCTTTTCGTGGGAACCAGAACATAAAAAAAGAAGAAGAAAAATATTCAGGAATAACAACCCAAGATATTTTGAATAATTTTTGAATAACGGGAAATTGAGATGTCACTTTTGGATGCCCTCTCCTTATTCCATTCAACATCATTTAGCAGCACTTCTTAAGTTGGAAGTTGATCATCTTCTTAAATCTAAAATGTGAAATCATATGTCTGGAATGGTTTTATAACATAACCAATGATATTTCCTTGTCAAATCTGTCATAAGTGATCAGCCTTAAACTTAAATGTTGGGTGATAAAAAAGTCTTGAAGTTTTTTTTTGAAGTGGCCCTTAATGTCTGATATTGATAAAAGAGAAGTTAAAATTCATGATCTTCCTCTTGGCAACATTTTTAGTGTCTATAGGAGTTAAAGGCTTCTAGGAATTACTGCAAACGCATATTCCGATTGTCCAACAGCAAAGTTTCAGTTTCGATTATAACAAAGCAAAGTAGGTGATATTATGTTTTTTATTTTGCAGGCTTTCAAGATACCTACTAGAGATGACCAATTATACAACTGTGAGATTGTTTTGTGTGATCTTCTCATTACTTCTCACTTTAGCTACTTTGTCAGCAGCACCTTATCCTGAATATGACAGTGAGTACCTACCTTCTTATTGAAATTATTTAGTATCAGGAAGTTTTCTTAGGACAACTTTTCAATCAATGACTTCATAATTGATCCTAAAACTTCATTAACGATGAGATTTCCCCAAAATTCTTAAACGCACGAAATGTTTTTTTTTGGGAGTTCCAAGCTCACCGAGATCAGAGTTTATACAAGTATACTTCTCCTATACAATTCAATTTTTATTTCGATACTGAACATATTGGTGAGTTATATTTTCATATTATATATACATCATATTATCTTATCCGATTTGAGAGAGAATGTCAATTCTCAATATCAGAGGATTTTCATTTTACATGCTCTCCTTTTGGATGTTCAACAGACATAAATCAATGTTCGACGTGGCAAATAGCAAGAAAAGTAGTTGTTTTCTGTTGGATATTCAGAATGATATATGTATATTTTTATCTGACGGCGAATGCACATTCTCAACTTCAGAAGATTTTGTTTTCAAATTCTTATCGTGTGTGTTAAATAGATATAATTCAATGTTCGTCGTGGCATATAGCCAGGAAAGTAGTTGATTTCTGTTGAATAAACCGAGATAGAGTTGATATTTTCATCACATACAGAATGCGAATTCTCAATGTATTTCGTCATATATATGTATATTTATTTTTTTATGTTCATAATTTTATCTGAGAATATTTCTTTTCACTATTTTCACCCAATCAACGGGTTCAAACTTGAACGATGGAAACGTGTTATTTTTTTAGATCTTTGATCGCAGATTCGTTATTAGGTTTTCCCAATTCAGAATGTCTTTCCACGTCCTGTGTGATGAATATCAATTCGGCATAAAACCAGAAACGAAAAAAAAAACTTCCAAAGTTGATTAAAAAAAAAACGTTTCCGCATTACTTCTATATAAACGTTAAAAACCACCAGATTGAAATTTCCTGCATAATTGTATGTTGATGAACTACATTTTTTGGCACATTCCTACATTTCAGATATTGTTATAAAGGGTGTTTTTAGAAGGTGTGTCATGAATTTTTGAAGACAACATTTCTCGTTGTATTCAATTTTGTGAATAGCAGAAGAATTTCTGTTTGAATGATTCTGATTTTGCCCCAAATAAAAAAGTGAAAGAGCATCCGCAAGACGGATAACACGTAGGGCATTGAGAACAAGTAATATCAAGATGTTTGTTCTGGATGAAGCTGATGAGATGTTGTCCAGAGGATTCAAAGATCAGATTCATGATGTCTTCAAAATGTTGAGTTCTGATGTGCAGGTCATTCTGCTCTCTGCCACCATGCCAACAGATGTGCTAGACGTTACTAAATCCTTCATGCGTAATCCTGTGAGAATATTGGTCAAGAAGGAAGAGCTCACCTTGGAGGGTATAAAGCAGTTCTTTGTTTATGTGGAGCGTGAGGACTGGAAGTTGGAGACGCTGTGCGATCTCTATGATACTCTTTTAAACACCCTGTATTTATCTGAGCAATAATGGCACCAAATAACTTTTGAGGTAGGTATTCTTGGATATCAGATTACTTAATGAAAATTCTCGTCAGTAATGTCAGTATGGGCATGTTCAAACAACTTGCCACTTAAAATCATCACCATTCTGAAGTTTCTCTCTTCCTAATTATAGTATAAAGTATATTGTTACCTGTTTTTATACGTATTTCTCCCCATTCCATTAGCTAAATGAAGCAGTTCAGTCTATACAGGGTGATTGATTGAAAGCGTGTAGGGAGTACCTATACTGTTTCACAAGGTAATTTTTAAATGAGTACACAGAAGAGATATTCCATCTTGAAAATAAAAATATTGCTAAAACGGGACGTTCCCATGAAAAATCTAGTTTGTCAAAGGTTTTAATTAGGAAATATATAGTACAGCTGTTCAAAATGGCGACCATGGTCTCTAGGAGACACCTTCACTCAAAGAAATAGTATGGGTTGAATTGACAAAAAAGTGTTTAATCAACAACTTCATTATAATTGTTGAATCGAACTACAGTTCTGTTATGTTACATTTAATGATCAGGTCAGGACAATTGAGGAAACATATCAGTTGATTCTGATAATATCTTTGTGGTACTACCTAAAATTTGTAGGAATTCGTCGAATCAAACTAAGAATAGTATTTCAACTATATTATTACTGTTACTCAAATAATATTACAGCTTATTACAGCTGTTATAGTTGGTAAACAAACGAGAAGTGAGGTAAAATCAACCTACTACTATTTCAAATCAAACTAAAGATAGTATTTCAACTATATTATGTTGTACTTATAACTAATGTATTTTCACTGCTCGCTCATTGTTATAGTTGGTAGACAAACGAACAGTAAGTTGATATTAACCAACAGTTATTTTCCTAAAATAGAAATTACATAATCCTTCTTTGAAGGGTTGAAAATGAGCTTGTGTTCCTCCCATTGGCAAGTTCAAATATTCATACCAAATCAATATTTTGTCTCTTTTTCCCTGGCCTCTCTTCAATTAATTCAATTGTTGAATCATTTACTACGAGAGAAGTGGAAATATCCCCAGGAAGGACAAGTACCAGAACTATAAAAAAGATTGACAGAATTTGGAATTCTCTCGTCCCCATCAAGTAGTACCACTGATACTCCCCAACTAATAATCATATTGGGAAAAATTCATCAGATGATGGAAATTATGTGATGGAGAGTATCATCCATGAATTCTTTCAATTCAATATTTGAATTAGTTTTTCTATTCTGCAAATTTCTTGCAGAAAGAAGATGATAAACTGAATAAATGAATTGAATAACAGTCCATTGAGAATCTATGGTATCGCATCAAAGATCACATGGGACTGCTTTGAAACACTCATGCAACTGGGAAAGGACAACAAATTCACACTTATGTGGGTTCCAGGGCATGAAGGAATCAAAGGAAATGAGGCAGCTGATCGCCTTTCAAAAAAAAGGTGCAATATCTGCACTTTTTGGTCCTGAACCTTTTTGTGGGATAAGCAAATGTCACCTAAAGGAAGAACTCAGGAAATGGGAAGAGATTGAAAAGTTCTCCTACTGGAGAGCAATTCCAGGTCAACGACAAGCGAAAAGGTTCATCAACCATTCGCAGAACCGAGCCAAAGAACTACTCAGCCTCAGCCATCCAGAGCTAAAGTTTATCACAGGATTCCTCACAGGACACGGCCCTCTGAGGTACCACCTCAAAAAGAAGGGTCTGGCGGAGACTGACACTTGCCGCTTTTAAAACAATGCGACCGAAACCGCGGAACACATACTTTTAGTCCGCCAAAGGCTGAACCACCTAGAACAGGTCTATCTCACCCCTGCTGAGGTGGAAAATTCAACCGTCAGGAAAATTGTAGGCTTCATCAGGAGTCTAGGGTTAGAGGACCAAAACTAGATAAGGGTAATCACAATAGATCTTCTAGGTCGCAGTGATCGGGAGGTCTCCCAGCCTATACGACCCATCTACAATCTACAATCTATGGTATCATAGAGGATGAATTGAAACGTGTGCATTGAAATTACGTAGACGACAAATTTCAAATAGAGAGAAAAGAAGTTTATCACAATAATACTTGTGTTGAAGAAGTTTAGACACACTGAGAAAATTTGTATTCCCTTTTTTGTTACAAACTTCACATGTCGAAGATTTGTTGTGATGAATAAACTTCTTTATTCATAATCTGAATTCTTTATTCCATGTCAACAAAAATGAATTGTTTTCATAAAATTCAGTGGTACCTACAAAAGAACTGTTGTCTGTTGTCAGACTGAAAACTGGTTGATAAAATTTTTTTTTATTATAAACAACAATTATTTGTATGGTGACTTAACGTATTCAACTATTGTTCGCTGGTTGATATAATTATTAAACTAGGTAGGCTCATTTACAAATGGTCTTTTTGGTTGTTTCAACCCATTAATTTCTTCGAGTGTTGTATATTGAACGCATTATCCTAAAATATTAGACTCGTCTATCAAATGAAGAAACATTCCACTTTGGAAATTGAACAAAAAATAAAAAAAATTATCGAATAGGTACGCCTCTTAAATATTATTGAAATATCTTATATCTATTCATTTTTTTGTCACCCTGTGAATACTTTCAATGGACGTTATTAAGCAATCACCAATATACACCTGTGGAGAAATACCCGGGGTAGAGGATGTCAGCTTTGAATTATTGATTCTTATGATAATGATCCACTTGAAAAAAATCAATGATCAATGACATACTTTAGGGAGAATCAATGATGAACCCTAGAATTTTAGTCTAAAAGCGTTTCATTTTCAATCCCACCCTCTTTACCCCAGTTATTATTAATAAATGCTTTTGTAGTAAGCATATTTTTTTTATCTGGAGAATTTTTTGTGTGTGTAAGTTGTTCTTACAAACTTCCTTAATGACATACTGATAGTTGAGAAGACGATTATTGGACCCAATTTGAGAAAAACCTTCTGATGCACGTGTCTCGTGATCTTTTGATATACAGGGTGTCAAAAATGAAGAAAAATAATGAGTAGTAAATCGGTGAGACCCAGAGATTGAATCAAATACAATGATAACATTTGGCACATCAGTAAAATACAAGAATTAATAGCTGCCCAACGACCAACTAGATACAATTTCCCCAAATTTTATATTGAAATAATACTAATATTCTTATTCTATAAGAACTAGGAGAGTAAATCCAAAAAAATCTGGAATAATGAATATGATTCTGAATTTTGTACAGAGAAGGACATCTTTTTACAAATTTACTAGGATGCGATGTTATACCGAGAGGAAACATAAACGCGGGACTCCGAATTTTGATGTACCTACTTAAATGCTTAGTACTCCATGCAAGACGTCCGTTCAGACTACTGAATAACCATTCAGACTTAATTTTGCCATCATGAACGAAAAAATCAATACAATACAATACATTGTGGACAGCAGAAAAATGTATGCATATTCATAACTTGACACCCTGTATCCCAAAAGTTAGGAAGCTTCCTAG